TATTGGGGGACTGTTTATCAACAAATTATGTGTAAAAAAATTTGATATTTAAAAAAAATGAATAAACACTTTATCATAATGTTGCTTGGTTGGTCTATCTCTATTTCTGAGGTTGGCAGCTCTGCACTCAAATCCTTCACTGCCTTTTTTCCCAAATCCAGTGGATTTTCCGTAACATAAATGCTGCCATTTTGAACAGAATGAATAGAAACCTGTGGGTAAAATTATTAAGGTTGGGAGGGCCTGAGAACAGACTTGAGAAATTCCTGTATTCCCTTTATTTGGGGATGGGCTGTTGGGTCCTTCATGGAGGACTTGGAAAAGTATCAGAGTATACACAAAATGTAGCACCTGACCATGGCACTGTCTGATGGGAAAGTGAATGGGACACTCGTCTCCTACCTGAATACCTCATTTCCAGCTCAGTTAGCAGATGGTTTGTTTTTCTGGAGCTGGAAGCTAATTTCTTGGGACATTTAAAAAAATTGTCATTTAAAGTCTTGTAAAGCTCAAGAGAGTTTTAGTTAGAAACAGGTTTTAGAAGGGAGGCATAGAGGATATTCCTCCTCTGAAACTTGGGGCATAGTCATTAACCCTAAGGTCCTCTCATGGAGGAGCAGTTCCTTTTTCAGACCTAAAAAATCTTCTACTTTTCTTTGAGACAGCACTGAGGTTTTAGCCATTTTAAATCCCCGCTAACCAGAGCTGTAGGTGCTGGTGCCATGTGAGAGAGACACAAACACAATGGGTTATGATTCAGTGACCATGCCAAACTGGGCAGTGGTTTCCTCCTCACATGTTCAGGGCTCTGCACGTGATGCTGGTGTCACTGTCACTAAGTGAGGTCATTAATTATCATGCAAAACCACATTTTGAATTCAGCTCTCAGAGTGGGCAAAGGGAAGGTTTGATGTGTGGGCTGCTACAGCCTCATCATACATTGGCCAAAGGGTTGCTTTGATTTCTTCTGCTGGGAGATGATTTAAGGATTGAACACTCTGGTTCAAAACTACTTTGAGCACTTGGGTCTTGCCTGTTCTGCTTGATGAAGATGGTTTTATTTTGGTAATTAATGTGTAAAAATTATTATTATACGGTTTTCATGTTTGGGATTGCATCAGTCTGAATTGGCCTGATGTCCTGAAGCTTAACAAGGATGGGCTGTGGCTGTCCCTGGATCCATGGAAGTGCCCAAGGCCAGGCTGGACAGGGCTTGGAGGCAGCCTGGGACAGTGGAAGGTGTCCCTGCCCATGGCAGGGGGTGGAATGGGATGAGCTTTAATGTCCCTCCATCCAAACCATTCTGGGATTCCATGAACTGGGGCATTGCCACCCTGAAATCTGCAGTTTTTATACAGCCAAGAGAGGGTCAGGCCCCATGCAATAAATGTGCACTCCAAGTTGGTGTTTTCCTTGGTTATCTTTTGTGGGCCTTTAGGAGTAGAGGTCTCCTAAAAACTTCCTGCAGAGATCTGGAGTTTAAAAATAACAGCTGGAGTTTCTTTGAGCAGTCACGTGGATGCAGCGGCTGCATTAAGAGCAGGACCAGGATGCAGAGAGGTGAGTGCTCCTTCATGCAATTTCCTACCTCAGAATAGTTCAAGGAATGGTCAGCAGAAGGAACATGACTGAGCCATTGCTCAGGAATTCTGCAGTGCCTTTCATCAGCCCCTGCCCAGCCCCTCTGCAGTCCCATGTCTGAGCTCGTGCCTGATGTGTCTTTGCCAAGGTAACCACTTTTTGGGCCAGTTTGTCACCAGAATGGGATTTGGGAAATCCTGCTGGCCCACCTGGCTTTTGATTCACTGTGCCTCATTCCCTGGGGGTGCTGGGACCCCTGGTAGTGTAACCACTACACTATGACATAATTACCTCCAGCAACCACATGTGCTAATTAGAAGGTGCTGTGTGCTTGCCAATAAAGCACTGAGTCAAACACAAGGATGTGAGTGGTTGGTGACTGAAATCCCTCCCAATAGCCACTGCCAAAGCAATGTCTGGTTCCCAGTCTCTTTGTTAACAAATGGAAATGGGAAGGAGTTTAAAACTAAATCACTTCTGCCTGTGGAAATGGGCTCACTCTTGACTTATCCTTATAACCCAGCAATTTCTTCCATGTTTTTCCTAATACTATTTTTTTTTTCCTCCTGAAATCCATACTGCAGTTCCTGAAGTGTTTCCTGTGCCTCTTTAAATTCCCCCCAGATCACTCAGCATTACTGAGGTATCTTGGGAGTATCTTGCACGTCACACACCTTGCTGCAGGGGGGACATTCCCCTCAGTGACTCACTCTGTGCTTCCTCACTCTCCATCCGTGGCAGGCACCTGGTGGCTCTTCTCCCTGGGGATCATGTTCTCCATGCCAACTTTCGGGCTGCAAATATTGACCAAAGAGTTAAAACTTGGGAAGAGGTGGGAGGCAACCCAGCATGTGGTGGGAGTGGGATGGATCCCCCAAGCTTTTCTAAGGAGAATGAGAGCTGTCTAAATGCTGGGAGCGGGCAATTTTCCATGTAAATCCATAATTGTGGGATTATGGATTATGACCAACTCATTTTACTTAAAATAAAACAAATACTTGGGGCATTCAAAACATTCAGGAAAACAGCAGGACACCAGGAAGTCTGTTCTACCATAGAATTCCAGAGTGGTTTGGGTTGGAAGGGACCTTAAAGCTCACTCCAAACCCCATGGGATTATACAGGTGTAAATGCTGCACCTGGTGCCTCCAGAACAAGGAGGAATGCAAATGGATGCCTGTACCTGCTGGTGCTGTACAGCTTGTTTGCCTTATACCTTATGCTTTAAATCCCAAAATTAACCAGGAAAGCATAAACTGGTGTGTGGGATCTGTTGGACTGCTGTATAAGCAGCTGACTTTAGTCTCCCCAGTGATTTGTGGGGGATCAGGCTGGGGTGTTTCAGAATTTGCTCCAATACCCCCCCACCCCCACTTCAGCAGGAGTCACCTTCCTCCTCACATGCAAATCAAGCTCTTATCCTTAGGATCCCCCTTAATGCAATGTTTCTGCATCTCCAGAGGCTTACGAGGAGCTGGGAAAAGTTTTTTTGTTTGGCTCAGTTCTAACCCAAGTTTCCCTTCCCCTTCCCCTTCCCTTCCCTCATGGTTTCCAGAGCTGTTAAACTGGTTGGGCCATTCCTGCAGGAAAAGAGCAGGCTTGGCCGGCATGGTTTTTCTGTCCAAGCCCTTGCTCAGCCCTTTCCTTCCCTGCCAGCAGGTTATTTATGGAGGAAGGGGTGGGAATGGTAAGGAATGCACTCCTGGAAGCTGCTGGCTTTCACATTTTTTTAATGCTTTTACTTTCAGTTCAATTTTCAGTTACCAGGGTCTGGTGATGCAGGTGCTAGGCCAGCCCCAGTTCACAACCCTTCACCTCAGCCTCAGGTTTTATTTATAATTAAAGTCTTTTCATCAACTCCCATCTTTGTTCTGTGATGGCAAATGGGGCTTACCAACACCATCTCCCCTTATCCCCCTCACATCCCTCTTGGCGTGAGAGAACCAACGCCACCTTCTCTTGTGTCCCTTGACTGCGTCATGGCAGTCTCCCAAATGCCATCTCCCCTCACTGAGGTCAGGGCTGTGACAGACCCAAGGCCATCTCTCCCCACATCCCCTCGCTAATCTCAGGGCTGTGAGTGAGCCAGTGCCACCTCCGTCTATGTCCTCACTGTCCTCAACACCATGTCCCCTCACTGAGCCCCGGGCTGTGAGGAACCCAGTCCCACCTGCCCTCACTGTCCGCAGTGGCACATCGCCTCGCGCTCCCTCACGGTCCCCTCGGGTTCCCTCACAGTCCCCTCACGGTTCCCTCACGGTCCCCTCGGGTCCCCTCGGGTTCCCTCACGGTCCCCTCAGGTTCCCTCACGGTCCCCACACGGTCTCCTCACGGTCCCCACACGGTTCCCTCGGGTCCCCTCACGGTCCCCACACGGTTCCCTCATGGTCCCCTCGGGTCCCCTCAGGTTCCCTCACGGTCCCCTCGGGTTCCCTCACGGTCCCCTCACGGTTCCCTCACGGTCCCCTCGGGTTCCCTCACGGTCCCCTCACGGTTCCCTCACGGTCCCCTCGGGTTCCCTCACGGTCCCCTCGGGTCCCCACACGGCTCCCTCACGGTCCCCTCGCGTCCCCTCACTGTCCCCACACGGTTCCCTCACGGTCCCCTCACGGTTCCCTCACGGCTCCCTCACGGTCCCCTCACGGTCCCCTCGCGTCCCCTCACTGTCCCCTCACGGTTCCCTCACGGTTCCCTCACGGTCCCCTCGGGTTCCCTCACAGTCCCCTCGGGTCCCCTCACGGTCCCCACACGGTTCCCTCACGGTCCCCTCGGGTCCCCTCACGGTCCCCTCGGGTTCCCTCACGGTCCCCTCACGGTTCCCTCACGGTCCCCTCGCGTCCCCTCACGGTCCCCTCACGGTTCCCTCACGGNNNNCGGTTCCCTCACGGTCCCCTCGGGTTCCCTCACGGTCCCCTCACGGTTCCCTCACGGTCCCCTCGCGTCCCCTCACAGTCCCCTCACGGTTCCCTCACGGTCCCCTCGGGTTCCCTCACAGTCCCCTCACGGTTCCCTCACGGTCCCCTCAGGTTCCCTCACGGTCCCCTCACGGTTCCCTCACGGTCCCCTCGGGTTCCCTCACGGTCCCCTCACGGTCCCCTCACGGTCCCCTCGGGTTCCCTCACGGTCCCCTCACGGTCCCCTCACGGTCCCCTCGGGTTCCCTCACAGCTCCCTCACGGTCCCCTCGCGGGGTCACGAGGGTCCCTCCCCCCCCACGGGCGCCATTTGGGGCGGGCTGGGCTCGACCCGGCTGGGCTCGGCTGTGTTCGGCTCCGTTCGGCCGGGCTCGGCTCGGCTCCGTTCGGCTCGGCCGCGCCGGGCCGGCCCCTGCTCCCAGGGCGGGGCGGTGCCGTTGCCGGCCCGGGGCGGGCAGCGCCGCTCGCTCCCTCCCTCCGTCCCTCCCTCCTTCCCCGTGACCTCAGTTCCCGGCGGAGCGCGGCCCCAGCGCGGCTCGGCTCCGCTGTGCTCCCGCGGGGCCCGCTGCCCCCGCGCCCGGCCATGGCGCGCTGAGCGCCGCGGAGCCGCCAGCCCGGGGCCGGCCGGGGCAGCCGGCAGGACGGAGCCGGCAGGACGGAGCGGGCCCGGCGGGCGGGACGGCGCTCGGCCTGCGCCGGGCGGGCGCGGCGGGCGGCGGCGGCGGTGGGCGGAGGCGCCATGGAGCCGGCGGAGGTGAAGGACCGCATCCTGGAGAACATCTCCCTCTCCGTCAAGAAGGTGGGAGCGGGAGCACGGCGGGGGGCTGCGGGCAGCGAGCTGCGGTGCTGAAAAGACTGGGCCTGGGGACACCCCTGGGCTGGGGCTGTAGGAGTTGGGGGCAGCCCTGGGCTCCGGCGGGTCGGCCGGTGCTGTGCTCTGGTGGCGCTGGTGACAGGAGAGCCCTGGGGACTCTCCTTGTACGTGTGGGGACCTCCCTGTGCTGGGGCTGGGGACAGCCGTGGGGCTGGGGATGGCCCTGCTCTGCAAGCGCTCTGGGCCTGGGGACATCCTTGGGGACCCCTCTCAGCTGGTGCTGGGGACAGCTCTGGGACCCCTGACTGTCCTGTGGTTGAGGGTGGGGCTGTGGGCCTGGGGACGGCTCCAGGACAGCCGTGCGGGCTGTGTCTGCAGAGGTGCAGGGCTGGGGGACACTGCTGGGCACCCCCCAGACACACACCACTGCCATGGGTGTAGGGTTGAAGGACGGGACCCCATGTGTCTCCTGCCTCAGGTGTGGGGCTGGGGGACAATCCTACAGACCCTCACACCCGGGAAACATCCCAGGGATACTGATGAACTCTTGGACAGAAGTGTGGGGTCAAGGGCACACTGCATCCCCTTTGCCAGAGGTGGACACTTTTGGGAGTGTCCTTGGAGACCCCCTGTGCTGAGGGTGTGAGGTTGAACGCAGCTCTTCTGGTGGTGGGTATGGCACATCTGGAGTCTGGAGTCACCCTGCCACAGGGACACTGCCAGGGTCACCCCCAGGACCCTCTGTTTTGCTGACTGAGATATACTGGGATTCTCCTGCCTGGGATTCCCTGTTTCAAAGGACAGGATTAGGGAGACCCTTTTTCCTGGGGCTTTGTTCAGGAGGGATTTGGAGTCCAGCCTAAAACCATCTTTCTAGAGGTTCTCCCTCCAGCCAGGCATGTCCTGCGGGGGCACAGGATAGAGGGGCAAGACCTGGGACATGCTTCCCACGGACACAGGGGATGTGTGGTTCATTCCTGTTCCCTGCTCTGTGCCCTCAAAACAGGGCTCTGAATATGTGTCCTCTCACCTTCTCCTTGCTCCTCATTTCTCCTTGGATGGTTCCTTAAAGCCCATCCTGGTGGTGGAGACATCCGTGAGCTGTCACTGGGATGCTGAAATCCTTGGGAAGGCCAAAGGAGTGAGTTGTAAGGACGTGATGGAAGTTTTGGGTTGGCCCACACATGAGCTCCAAGCAACCTTGAAAGCAACCCCTGCTCCATTTGAGGAGGCAACGGGAGTTTCATTTGTGTTTGTCCCAGGTTTTGGGGCAAAGGCTGTCTGGACTTGCTGTTGTTTCTCCAGTTGTTGGGTTTCCTCTGCCTTGTGGAATAGATTTTCTGTGCTCTGCAGTGTGTCCTGACACATATTCATCCATGAAAACCTGTTTTATGAAGATCAGCATGAGCAAATTCCTGGTGCTACTAAGAAAGTGATGGCTGGACACTGTCTCTGGGATGTAGGATGGATGTACAAACCTCTCCCAGTTTTTTTTTGTCCATGGATGGCCCTGACCTCTGGTTTCTTGTATTTTTGTCCTCTAAGAATTAAGGATAATCTTGTATCTATCTGGAATCCGTGGATGTTCAGCCTGCTCTGAGCTCTGTCACAATGCTCTGCAATGCTCCTGCCTCCCTGTATCTATAAGGAATACAACTTCCTACACAGGATTGTTTGGACATAATTTATTTGCATGCAGAAAATCCTTGGAAGATCACATTTGGAAATGCTAAAAAATCAACATGTTTATTTTAACTAGTATTGTGATTGAAGAGGACTCTTCAACTCCAGCTCTGCCAGCACACCTTGGCCTACCCAATCCCTGCTAACTCCTGTCTTGGTCCAGCAGTGAAAATGTAGGGATTTTCTAATCCTGCCTGCTTATTCTTGTTCAGAGAAAAACTCAGGGAATTGTAGGAGCCTGCTTCAGGCTGATGGATTAATTTCTACCATCCCAGTGAAACGAAACTCAGGCCATGGTGAAATTCCACTCTGCTTTTTTACCCCCAGGATGCAGTTCTCCTTCCTCAGGGAAATTCATTATGGAGCTGTTAATTTTTCCCAGTGCTTACCTCTCCCACATCAGCCTGAAACCCCTGGTCCTCTTTTTTCCTGTGAGTGGCAAGAGTAAAGTACGAGTTTAAGGGAGCAAGTGGCTTTGTGCTGGGAAATCCTGCTCTCCGTCATCCTCGTCTTGAGTAACTCCTTGGCACTGGAATTGTGTCATGGGGCTTGGAGGAGTTTTCCAAGTATCCTGCCTCTGATTTCAGAAGCTTCCTTACAGTGTGGGTTGCTCACTCCTTCCTTTCACCAGCAATGCAGGTGTGCAATGGAGGATTTGGATGTGTCTATGGTGATGGTGGGGGTTTTCTTTTCTCAGCTGCAGAGCCAAAGGGGAGGAGACAATTTCATATTTTCATGGAGCTTTCCCAGGGAAGAGCACCCTGTGCTCAGCAGCCTCGGATGGGGAAGGAGAGGAGCAGCAGCACAGCCCTGGGAAGGGTCGGACACTCAGGCTGCACCTGTACTTGGCTGTGATTTCAGCTTTTAGCCCGTGCTGCTGGATTTTAGGGGTGGGGGATTGGTGCGTGTTAGAACCTTGGCTACTGAGAATTTTAGATTTATTGTGCTGACAGGCACTGATCCCTAAGAGAACACTGCATTTGACTTGAGGATGTGAAGAAGGCTTCTAAAATTGAATTATAGAACTGGGATTATGAGTGTGTGGATTTTGTACAACTCCACAGCAAAAAAATGCTTAGATTCCAAGCAAATCCCTCAAACCTCGATAAACAGGTCTGTTTCTCTTATTTTTCTGGAAAGACTTGAGGGATAGAGCACAGATGGAGAAGTGCCAAATGTGCTTAGAGAGGGTAGTTCCAACCTGGGGGGTTCTCTGTCTGGTTCCTGGGTACCCAGGGGGGCGAGATCAGTGGTAGCTCTGCTGTGGATTTCAGAGGTGTGAGGTTGGAGGTGTGAAGTCAGCCTCCACTGATAAAAGTGAGACAAAACACCTAACTTAGACAAAATAGGCTTCTTTAACCAGAGAGTTGTCAAGAGGTTTCTGCTCTTGGTGGCTTCAGGAGAGGCTGGGAAAGCTCAGCACCAGGGAGCTGCTTCAGTTGCAAGAAAATTGGGAGCATGGTTTTGATTTCCCAGCTACAGTTTGTCCTCTGTGTCCTCCCTGGGAGCTAAAGATTATTTCACAGTGTGATGCTTTCTGCACACATGGACAGTGTTGTGACTGTTTATTTTCCCCTTTCCCACTCAGTTCCCCTTCTGCAAAGAGGGCTGTGCTCCAGCTCAAATTACTGCATAGATTGATGCCTAACCCTTGTTTTTTGTGAAGATTTAGGGCTTTATTGGGGCAGAAGGCTGTGGTTGGGCATGTTATGGCTCAGTGTGCAGGCTCTTGTTCACTCAAGTGCTTGTTTCCTTCTAGGAGATGATGCTGTGTGTGGTGGCAGTGGGATGAGAGCAGCTTCCTGGTGCTGCCCAGGTGGAATCTGAACATACCAGAAATGCCAACAACTTCAAATCCATCCTTGGCCAAACATCTCCTGGTAGCCAGGAGCTGTCACAGGTTCCCTGGTCCATGAAGCTGGTGGTTTGTGTTCTCTTGGGTTTCCCTGAATATTCCCTGGGCTCAGGAGGAGTTTAGTGCTCTCCTACCTGGGATTAGGTGGTGAAAATGCAAAGTCTTTAGTGTTATTGTGGACAATTCCAGGAGCTGAATGTAAAACCAGAAGAGAGGTTAGAATCACAGATTTTGGGACTCCTCTGATTTTCAGGCCTTTCTTCTGGCTTTGAAGGACACACATTGCCATGAGTTCTGGAGCAGCTAATCCTTGGTGCATGTCAATCAGGTGGAGTAGTGGTTTTTGCTGACATTGCAGGAGTTCTTGCCAAAATCTCTGGCTCTGCTCTGTTTCTGCATTACTTTGGGAAGGTTTCCACTGCCCTCACAGCAAGTTAATGCAGAGCCTTTGCTGCCTGTCTCCGGGTTGGATTTTTAGCCCTGTACCTTTGAAATGGCTTTGCAGTCTCCTAAGCTGCTGAGCTCTGCCTTGTAACACCTCTGCTTCTCCTGAGGGAGGGTGGGTTTGGGCATGGCTTAGAGCCCCCGTGTCCTGGAGAGGAGCAGGGAGTGCTGGAGTGGAGAATCCCTACTCAAATCACGTAGGGAATGTGCTCATCTCTGCCTGGCTGCATTTATTTAGCCCAGCACTGAGGCAGCAGTTCTGAGATGTGAAAACAGTGAAGCGATCTCTTGCATTCTGCTCTCTTTTGAGAAACACCTCTCTGTCTCAAAGACCACAGGGGTTTTATCTCTGCCAGGGACTTTCCTCTTGTTCACTCACATCTCCCCAAGCCACATCTGTTGCTGCTGCTGGGACCACATGAAGAGGGTAGCCCTGCATGTTCCTTTGCCACGTGTCCCAGGTTTCCCAGCTGCCAAAAGCCTGGGGTTGAAGTAGCAGCAATCTCATGGAGTTCCTGAGTTGTCCATGAAGACAAGACACAGGAGTCACTCAGGTGCTTTCAGCAAGTCTACAGATGTGTTTTGGTGGGCCTCCAAGGGCTTTGTCTCTTTGGTGCTGTGGTTCTACTCTCATCACAGCTGTGTATTGCTTGGATTGCTTGAGTATTTCAAGGTTTATCTGTTTAGAAATTCCTCTTGCCTCATCCCAGTGATCAGGAAGCTTCCCTGCCTGGCCATCCAGGAGCTGCTCTGGTTGTCACACTCGCACCACCACAGGGCTGGTGATGATCCAGAGTTCATAATCTATAGTTTCAAGGGAATTGGGTTCTGCAGGTACCTAAACTGATGTTTGTCCTCCATAACACCCAAAATCAGCTCTGGAGCTGAGGGTGAACAAGCCTGTGATAACATTTTGGGAATTAAAATATATCGTTTGTTCTCCTCCCTCTAACACAAAGCATTTTGCTGGGAGAGCAGCCGGTTTAGGAGGGTAAATTTGGCT